ATTGGGAGATGCAAGCATGGAAGATTTCTTCCATGTTGTAGATGATCGGGAGATGCATTCACTTGTACTGAAGTTATTAGCTTGGTGGTGATAAGTTTTGTTTTACATTTTATATTTTAGATGGATCTATGATCTAATCAGTTTGGGAATGTGTTCTTTAAGAAGGCATTGGATAGGTGTCTATATTGATATGCAAAGTGCCTGTAACAACTGATGTATGAATTGGTACCACTGATGACAATATGGGTGTCATTGTATGTTGTGAGGGAAGAGAGATAGCCAGAGATCCCGGTACTGGTGATCTGAACAGCTTGGGATGCTACTGCTGTCTCATTCTTGAAACTAAAACTGGAGAAGAAGGTGGTTGGTTGGAAAGGCTGTGCCTGGGATTCTTTCTTTGTTTCTTTCTTTGTTTCTTCTTTCTTTCCTTCCTTCCTTCCTTCCTTCCTTCCTTCCTTCCTTCCTTCCTTCCTTCCTTCCTTCCCTTCCTTCCTTCCTTCCTTCCTTCCTTCCCTTCCTTTCTTTCTTTAGAAACTTGCCACTTCTCAATCACTGCGACAATAGCGCGATCTGATTAGCACAAGTTAGAACACCTAGTCTTTCTTGCTGCCTGGGAGAGGGAAGTGATTTTATTGGATGCCTTGGGAATGAAACTGACTCTGCAGTCCTGATATGGAGAGAACATCAATGCTTAGAGATACTTAGACTCTTAGGTTGGGATGCTAAGAACAAGCCACTGAATTTTTTTTAAAAAAATTCTAACTTATTGGCTATTTTGTAAATGGCTTTTTTTTTTGCCTGAGCTATCTGATTCACATAGCACTTTGTTGTCTAACTCTCTAATGCACGTTTTACATAATGTAACTAATATAGGCCTACGGGGATCCTGATACCAACTTCTCTTCATGACTGTTTGGGACTCCATTTGGGGTTTTCTTGGCAAAGATACTGGAGTGGTTTGCTATTTCCTTCTCTAGCTCATTTTACAGATGAGGAAACTGAGGCAAACAGGATGAAGTGACTTGCCCAGGGTCACTCAGATAGGAAGTGTCTAAGGTTGAATTTGAACTCAGATCTTCCTCACTCCAGATCTGGTGCTCTATTCACTGTACCACCCAGCTGCCCACTACCACCTTCTACTCTTATTGGCAAGTCAGATTCCCAGAGTAAGAAAAGATTTCCCCTCAGAAGCCTCTCCATCACCTCTACTCTCACTTATCTGCAGTTTCCCCCTTACTACTGGCTGCTTCACTGTTGCCTACAAACACTTTTGTGTCCCATCCTCAATAAGCCCTTACTCTATTCATCTATCTGCCCTAGTTATCATCATGTATCTCTCTTCCCTTTTGAACTTTTAAGAGGACCCCAATTAAATCAGCTCCAGATGGGATTTGGGAGGGCCTCGCCTGATTTATGTAGGAGGCAACCACATGAGAACTTTTCTCTTATTAATGAGTGAGACTGTCTGTCCATCAGCTGAGACACTGCAGTGGTATGGAGCTTGCTGTGAGCTCCAGAAGCTTTTGAATGCCCATCCGTGGGCCACAGATGATAGCCTTACTCATTGCTCTGGACCTGACATTAGGTATGTCATGAAACAGGAATCAGCATTCTTTTCTGACCTATGGCTTGGAGTTACCTGAAGGTTCTCAGTCTGGGAATGCAGCCACTCACTATATACCTCCCATGGCTATCACCTTATTACTAGAGTCTGAGTCCTGACTTATGGAGCCCCACAGGACCCTGGGAAGGATTCCTGTGGGCTAGGGTAGTCCTCCATGTAAAAGGGACGGGAGGAAGGACCAATCCCCTAAGAGAGCCTAGTCAATTCACAAATGCTCCTGGAATAACACCTAGTACTTCCTATGGAATCGGGAATTTGTGAACTTTCTGACCTTCACAACCATTTAGCTGCAGGGTGCACAAAGACTGGAAATGAGGATGTGGTTGTTGTACAAGATTTGTTGGGTTGGACAAAGAATAGGAAATACACTTTCCATGTGACATAATGACATTGGAACAATCAATCGATAGATTCAGATTATCCATTTTCTGTGGCTGTGGCTAAGGGGATCAGATAATTTAATGACCAGTGGCAGAGGATTAAAGGTACCTGTACGTTTTGATTGCCCTTTAATCAGACCACCTTGATTCCTAATCTTCATAGTTTTCTGGCTGCTGTTAGGAGATTGAAGGATTGGAGAGTCCAATATGTTTGAACCACCAGGCTTATGTCTCCAACCACTGCATAGCTTTTGGTACCCCATAATGGTCACTTGCCACAGGTACAAAGCAATTCTTATACTCTGTTATGCAATTTGACATGCTGTTAGAGCATCTGGAATGGTTCCTCTCTTCATCTAACTGTTTTGCTGCATCTGTTGTATTCAGGTAAAAAGCAGGGAGCTCTGTATCTTCTATACCAAACCAACAAGGCTGATGGTATCTTGCTACAGATCTACAGCAGCTTAAAGATTAAGGAGGGCTGGTGAAAATGGGATTCTTGAATTAATGGAGACAGTGTCTAGGGTTACTTTGTGCTCAGCACAGAAGAGAGGAATGTATGGCCTCAGTTATGTCATAAAGTATTGGGAATGAATGCTGTGACAATGTCTTTGATCTGGGCGTTCTTAACCTCTGTTGACTCCCTAAAATAAAGGGTCGTCTCAAGACAGGGTGTATACATGGCTGCTCACAGTAATTATCTTTGTTTTGTAAGCTCTGCCCATTTCTAGGTGTTTGTAGTTGGTGCTTTCTTTCAGGAGGTGACTGGTGGTTTCTCTGTATTTTCACTTTGCCATTTGGATCTGGGAAGCTTTGTCATTTCGTGAAATGTGGTATCCAGTATTTTTGTGTGGTTGCGATTTTTAGGGAGTCAGATGCTTTTTAAATGATCTCTCCTTCACTTGTTTTCTTGGTTAGTTTTTGTAAAGTAGTTACCGTGTATATTTTCAATCTTTTGACTTTGTTCTAATATGTCTTTTCGTCTTGTGGAGTTATTGAAACCTGATTGCTCCATTCTGTTTTTTCAGGGAGCCCATTGCTCGGATGAGCTTTTCTACCTTATTTCCAAAGCTCTTTATTCTCTTTCCACATTTTTCCCCTCGAGAGCTCTAATTTCAGTGTCTATGCAGTTCTAGTGGATGCTTCTGTAGGGGGTAGAGTTGCTGCACTGATACTAGATCCTTTCTCCTCCCTTCTCTCCTCTGAAAAGGGATAGAGCTGAATCTTGTAGGCCTTGCTAATCTACTTGCAGAGGGTTGGTTTAGGCTGTGATGTTTGCTCTATGTTTCTCTGTCAAGTCCAGAAGCTTAGGGCTTAATCAGCCTAGGGACAATAGAATGGTCTTCAGCTCCACCTCGTCCCTCTCCCCGCTACTTTATGGTATTTTTTGTTTGATGGAAAGTTATTAATACAATTGTAATATCCTATAGTCCCCAGTTAGGAAAACTCTTAACATTCATACAAAGGTTTGACTCTCTGTCCTAATTCAAATTTTGTATATTTCCAGCTAACTCCTGGCTTCTTTCATTCTCTCTTTCTTGTTATGGACAATATACATATACATCTATACGTATATACATTATACATGGACATGTACAAATACATGGGCATATACAATGTAAGTTTTCACGACCAACCCTGAGCTTCTTTATATATTAAGAACAATCAGAGTACAGGAAAGACTTGGGTAAGAAAAGCACAAAGCATTTATCATGGTACCTGTTACCGTATAGGCCTGGGGAGGAGAAGTTAGGGGAAGCATAGACCTTTTGGAACTTTCCTTATTCCTTGACAAGGCAGTTTCAGGCTGCGCGGAGGAGCTTCCTGGTGTTTCTTCCCAGTTTTCTTTATTATAGGCCTGTCCTGGTACCTTTCAGGGATTTCCAGGTGAGCTGGGTTCCTTAGCGACCTTTTGCATCATGATCTTAACTTGGAAGTCAATCTGTTATATAATAATCATGCTTTATGGACAACCCAGACAGTCCCTAACCTGAATTGAATTGGTGGGGGGGGGTTGGAATTACAGACACACCCAATCCAATCACAGCTTGGGTGGGAATCCATTATTGAAGTGACCAAGTGAAGCCTGACTCCATTTAATCACCGATCCCTGCCTGTGGTCCAGGGCTTCTGCCTTCCCTGTTACTATTGAGGGCACCACCGTCGTCCTGGATTCCTCACTGTTGCTCACTCTCCATATTACTGGTCCAGGGCTTCCTTGGGGCGAGCTGGAAGGGACACAGCGGGCATGGGGCTCAACAAAATATCTAGAGACCATCTTCCTCGTCCTGCTCAGGCCCCCACCTCCATGCCCACTGTGGGAGCGGTGAGACCTAAGATTCAGGTTTCCTGTATTTGTGCAGAAAGCTGTCTTTAGAGGAGGTTAGGACGGGGGGTGGGGGGAACCTGCAGCCAGCGAAGGTCAGATGGCTGTACTTGAGGACCTAGAGGGCCACGTGTGGCCTCAAGGCTGCAGGTTCCCCACCCTGCTAGTAAATCCTGATGTTTGGATCGTTGCATTTACAAACCTGTCTAGGTGTCTGGGTGCGCATCTCTCAGTACGTGGGTATGCATTGTGTGTGTGTGTGTGTCTACATCTGTATCTCCCCAGGTCTTTAATGTTGAGGGTGTGTGATGGTTTGTCGCTCTGTATCTGTTTACATCTCTGCATCTGTATACGTGTGTTTTTGTGTGTATATCTGGACATGTCTGTATGTACCTTTGTGTCTTTGGGTGTCTGTGTGTCATTCTGTGTGTGTGTGTGTGTGCATCTTTGGGTGTCTGTGTGTAGGTGCCGTGGCTGTGTGTTTGTATCCCTCAGTGTTTACATGTTGCTCCTTGTATATCTGCATATTTGCAAATTAAAGCAATGTGTTGGTGTGTGTGTGTGTGTGTGTGTGTGAGTGTGTGTCTATGAGTCTTTGTGTTGTTGCAGGGGAGTATAAAGAGATTTCGCATCTATGTGTGTAAATCTGTCTGTTTCTCTATGTTTTTAGGCAAATATGCTGCCCTGGATGCAGGGGCGATCCCAGCTCTGCTGGAAGTGTTGGACATCAACGTGGTCGAGTTGCGCTTGAATGTCATCAAAGCGCTCACCATGCTGGCCGAGGCTCCCGAGGGCCGGCGAGAGTTGCTCCCGGAAGTGTGTAGATTCAAGATGCTGATCAACAGCCCAGTCTTGGCTGTGAGCCAGGCAGCCAAGATTGCCACCAAGGTCATCGAGTGGAAGCCCTGAAGTCACAGCCCCCCAGGAAGAGAGACCTGCGAGCCAGGCCAGGCCCTATCCTTGGCACCCCTAATAATGATTGTGAATGTCTAACCATTACGTCTCGTGCTTTATTCTAGCCACACCCCAAAGAATCTCACGGCCATCCTGGGAGGCATGGAAAGGCCCTAGCTAGAGCTTTGGCCCCAGCTTCCTAACAATAGAGCTAACCAAAGATAGAATGGGGCTGTGGAGGGTGGTAGTGATTTCCCCAGGACCAAAAGCATTCAAGTAGCTTCCTGGAGGATCGTTTTTCAGGTGGGTCTAGGAGTTAGGATACACTCCCAGGCTCCTGGCCTAGTGCTGGAAGGAATCTGAGATGCTCAGAGGAGAAGGCACTTGCCACACAGGAAGTGGGTAATAGGGCCACCCTCAAGCCCTGATTTCCTGGGCCTCTGCACTCCACCTTCATGCCAGCCCAAATCCAAATAGCCTGGCTGACAGACAGACAGAGAAGCATGGTGAGGTGGTTTGGGGTGCCTGGAGGGGACCTGGGTGCAGGGGCTTTATGGATACTGTCTCCGGATGAGGCCAGAGCCAGGACTCCCAGCCCACTGGGCCGCCTCTTGGTTTGGCCGTGCAGCGATTAAGATGGAGGCAGAGGGGGCCGGCTTGGCAGGTTCTCAGATAACATCAAGTTGGGAGGGACAGCTCATCCACCGAATGGCAGTCCAAGTCAGAAAAGGTGGCAGCAGATGGGATCCGGGCTGAATCAAATCAAACGAAATCCGGTAGGGATCAGTGTGGCATTGTAGGCTCATGAATTCGGAGCTGGGCAGGACCTCAGATCCCATCTGGTCACACTCCTACATTTTACAGATGAGAGAAACTGAGGCCCAACTGACAGAAAGTAAATATCAAAGCTGGGGGTTGAACCCAGGCACAGTGGGGAGGCACGCCTAGGCAAGGATCTAAGTGAAAAAGATCTGGTGGACCCCAAGCTCAGCAGTGTGGCACAGCAGCCCAGAAAATGAATTGTATCATAGGCTGAATTGAGATGAAGGCCCCAGAATGAGGGAGGCCTTAGTCCTGCCACCCCTTCAGTCAGTCAGCAAACATTAATCACCTGCTGTATGCCCAGCACAGTGCTAAGCTCTGGGGATGCAAAAAGAGGGAAAAGCCAGTCCCCGCCCTCAGAGAGCTCCCTGTCTCATGGGGGAGACTCCATGCAAACCAATCTGTACAGAGTGAGCTCTATGCAGGAGCATAGAGAGAAGGCACTAGAATTCAGAAGGGTGGGGAAAGGTTGCCTTGGTCAGACCCCATCTGGAGTCCCATGTCCGGTCTGGGGCCGCTCTAGGCAGGGCAGTAAAAAGTTGGAGTGATTTCAGAAGAGAGGGAACAGGATGGAGAGGGGGCTTGGAAACCGTGGCCTGTGAGAATGAGTGTGAGCCAAAGGGGATGTTGGGCCCGGAGAGGAGGAGAGTAAGGGGAATGGGGGACTTAGTAACTCTCTTCAGATACATAAAAGGCTTTCCTATGGGACTGGTGGGAGTGGGCTTACGTTCAGAGGACAGAGCTAGGATTTCTGTGTGAGTGGGTGGGTGGGGCAAGCGTTGGAGGGAAGAGGACAGGGAATGTGAGAGGTTGAAAAGACCCTGTGACCTGGGGCTGTGTGCTGGGCGACACCCCTGACTCTTCTAGGAGGTGAATGATTGGGAGAAAGTTTCATAGTATGGAGCTTGTCACTTTATAGTGGACAACTTATTTTAGCACTGGGCAGGATTAGTGTCACCATCTACAAGGTTCTTTGACAGAAGCCACAGTCTTAATGACCCCCTGTGATCCCACCAGAGAAGTGCTCCCAGATTAAAGAATTCAAGGAGCTAGCCACATATGGACTGGTGACAGGCTTGTGCAGACCAAGTGCCATGCCAAAATGAAGGCTGATGCCGAGGTGGTGGGGGTTGGCTGGTGTCATTCCCATGGACTGGGGCTCCATGCACAAGCCACTAGCCCTCGCTCAGCCCCTGGACTGAGGACTCAGGGGCCCATACACTCACAGATTTAGATCTAGAAGTCCAATCCTCTCATGTTTTACCAGGTCTAGAGAGGTTAAATACTTGCCCAAGGGCATCCCGATCATAAGTGTCAGATCTGAACCCTAGTCCTCAGACTCTACCACTGTTGAAGATGCTTCCTCCCATCCCAAGGGGGTTATAAGAAACTGTAGAGAGGCACCCCCCACTCCCATTCCCCTCCCTTTCAGGCAGCTCTGCCAGCTTTCCCTTGGCTTTCTCCCCCTGGCCCCAGAGCCTGAGAGGAGATCTCCGTTTGAGAGAGCAGACTGGGGCTGCCTCCTCTGGTTTTTATTTCTGTTCCCAAGCACAGCCCAACCATTGACCGGTTAACCTGAGAGATGGATGTCCTGGTGATCACCTCCCTCCCTCGAGAGATCTCAGGCTCCTAAGTGAGTTCCAGCTGCCTGGCAGGAGGCATTTCCTGCCAGGATATCTTAGGGGAGAAGGCTACCAGTGACGGCATCATTCAGAACCTGAAGGGACTGAAGAGCTGTCCCTGACTGACCAAAAGATCTGAATCTTGTGAATTGTGGAGACAGTGCAGACCTGACGGGAAAGAGTGCAAAGTGCTGCAGAGCTGAATCTCCCTCCCAGGAGACTCTAATGGGTATGTATGATGGACACTTGGGCATCTTTGGGGGTTGAATTATGCCTTTTACGGTCAAGGAAATATAGAGCTGCCTGTCCCCAGTGCTTACTTTGTAGGTCCATTGAATACCTCTTCTGGAGGAGACCCTGATGGTGCTTCATACCTAAATTGAGTTTAAGACAATTTCTCTGCTCAGGGTTAGGGGCAGAATGAGTCAGAGGGCATGACAAAACCCTGACTCTCTTTGGGGTTCAAATATTCCCTTAGGCCATGTGAATCCATAGAGTTCACCCCCATGGCAAGGGTCACAACATGAACATGAACATGAACCTTGCCTGCATGAATGGTGGCATCCTTGAGATGTGATAGAAAGGGTGTTGGCAGGAGCCAGGATGGGACTGTTCTGAGGGATGGGTGAAGGCAGGAGCTGCTTCCATGGGGAAACTTGGGAGGAAACTTGGAAGAACCCAGAGTCACTTAATGCTTGAGGCACAGACTGAAAGATAAAGCTTTTCCATTTCTTGAGATAACACGAAGGAAAGAAAGCGTACTATTGCTCTGGGACTTTAAAGTTGACCAATTATACTCCTTTCAACAACCCTACATGGGAGATATTAAAGCTGTGACTGACACTTCACAAGTAAAGGATGAGGGAGGGGTGGCTAGGCAACAGTTTGGATGACGAAGATTTGGGTGGGGAGGGTTAGTGGACCACAGACTCAACTCGAATCAATAGTACAACATGGCAGCCCAAAAAGCTACATTAAGAATGACCAAGGATGAAGAAACAGATGGTTCTGCTGTGCCCTGCCGTGATGCCCTGCATCTGGAGTGCGTTCGGTTCTGGGTGCCAATGTTTAGGAAAGACGTGACTAAGCTGGTGAGTACGCAGAGGAGGGAGACCAGGATACGGGGAAGAGCCTGGAGTCTGTGCCATCAGAAAGAGCAGTCGGAGGAGCTGGACGTGTTTAGCCTGAAGGAGAGAAGACCCACAGAAGATTGGATAGAAGGTCTGCCATAAGTTGGCTTGGCCCCAAAGTGAAGGGACAGTGGGGGTTTCCAGACTCAGATTTCAGCTGTCTGCAAGGAAAGGCTTTACGAGAACAATGGACTGCCTTGGCAATTGATCCATTGACATACACTTATTAAGCACCTTCTGTGTGCTAGGTGCTGAGGGCACAGAAGTAAAAAGATGCTATCTCTCCCTTGAAGGAGATGACATTCGGTCTCTGGAGGGAGTGCTGGGCTCTCCCTCCCTGGGAGGCTTCGAGGGGAACCAGAGGGGGGATGTTTTAGGGAAGTTGCGTGGGGAACATATGGTCATGTGTGGCTTGGAGTGAGGGCACCAGCAATGCTGAGACTGTAGAACTGATAAGGATTGGCGCCGGGATTCATGGCCCAGCCTCCTCACTCCTTGTGTTGGCTCTTTCCATGACATCAGCTCTTTTCTGTCAACTTGTCCACTTCCCATTACATAAAGGCAGCTGGGTTGGCACCATAGCGTCTGCCAGAGTGCTGGGCCTGGAGTCTGGAGGTCCTGAGTTCAAATATGGCCTCAAACATTTCCTAGGTGTGTTCCCTAGACAAGTCACTTAACCTGTGAGTTTTCTCATATGTAAAATGGGGAGAATAATAGCTTCTACCTCTCAAGGCTGTTGTGAAGAGGAAACGAGAGAAGATTTGTAAAGTGCTATGTACATGCCAGCTATAATTATTATAATTCATGGATCTGCATTGTCCCGGAGCCGCATAGATGGTTTCATGAGGTCAGCCTATGGCTGAGAGGCCAGTGATGACCCCCCTCCACACACACGCACTCACTCACACACACACACACACACACACACACACACACACACCTCAGACCCCCTGGTCCCTAGAAGTCAGACACACTGCTGGGTTGGCAACACACCTTCATATAACTGCTTCTAGCTTCATGAGACCTACCAGTCCTGCTCTGTTAAAATAACCTGGGTTCAGTGGAAAGAGCACTGGCTTTGAAGTCCAAGGACCTGGGTTCAAATCTCATCTCTGATGCTTACTACCAATCCTCTCTGGCCTTGGCCTCTGGATCCTTTCCATGTCTTCCATATGATCCTCTGTGTGACATTGAGCAAGTCGGTTAATCTCATTGGTATCTGTAAAGTGAGGCTTTGGGCTAGAAGGCCCCTCAGGCCCCGTGAAGCCCCAGAGCTGTGAATTAGGAGCTAGAAAAGACCTTCCAGGTCTACGAGTCCAACCCCCCATTTCACAGATGGGAAACTGAAGGCCGAGGGAAGCTAGATCTCAAGATGACCCTGGAAGGCAAGGCGGCCCCAGCAATGGACCAGCGACGCTCCTGACATGTCCCTGGCAGGCGCCCCTGCAATGCTGGATCTGTGTCTCATAGTTCTTCCCTTCTCCTCCAGGGCCAAGCACAGAACATGGCAC